CTGTTTTCCCAAGCGGTTGCACCATTCTGCATTCCCAGCAGCAATGTGTGAGAGTTCCAGCAGCTCCACATCCTTACTAACACTTGGAAATGTTTGTCTTTTTAAACTTAGCCATTCTAGTAGTATGTAGTGGCGTTTCATTAAGGTTTTAGTTTACATTTCTCTAATGACTAATGATGTTGAATATCTTTTCATGTGCTTATTTGCCATTCACGTATCTCCTTTGGTGAAGTATCTATTTACACCTTTTGCCCTTTTCTTTTAATTGGCTTGCTTTACTATTATTGACTTGTAAAGTTCTTTATATATTCTGAATATGCATCCTTTATCATATATGTGTTTTGCAAATATTTACTTATCGTCTTTGGCTTGTCTTTTCTTTTTTAGAGAGGTTTTTTTTTTTAATGTTTATTTATTTTTGAGAGAGAGAGAGAAACAGAGTGCAAGCAGGGGAGGGGCAGAGAGAGAGGGAGACAAAGAATCTGAAGCAGGCTCTAGGCTCTGAGCTGTCAGCACAGAACCCAGCGTGGGACTCAAACCCACGAACTGCAAGATCATGACCTGAGCAGAAATCAGACATTCAGTCAACTGAGCCACCCAGGCGCCCTGCCCTGCCTTTTCTTTTCTTCTTTATTGTTTGTTTATTTTTGAGAGAGGGAGAGAGAGCACGTTTATGAGTGGGGCATGGGAAGAGAGGATCTGAAGCAGGCTCTGTGCTGACAGCAAAGAGCCCGATGCAGGGCTCAAACTCATGGACCATGAGATTATGACCTGAGCCAAAGTCAGACGCTTAACTGACTGAGCCACCCAGGTACCCAGGTGCTCATTTTGGCTTGTCGTTTCAATTTAACATTGGTTTTCATAGAGCAGAAGTTTAAAATTTTTGATCAAGTCCAGTTTAACATTTTTCTTAAATGCTTCATGCATTTTATGTCCTAATATTTAAAAAACTTTTTTTCATAGAACCCAAGGGTCAAATGGTGATTACCAGGGGCTGGGGAAGATGGGGGAAATGGAGAGACATTGGTCAGAGGGTACAAAGTTTCAGTTATATAGGATGAATAATAACATATAGCATGGGGGTTATGGTTACCAATACTGTTTTGGTGCAGTGGAAATTTCTAAGAGAGTAGTTTTTAAGTGTTTTCACTAGAAAAAAGGTAACTATACGAGTTGACAGATATGTTCATTGTCTTGACTGCAGTAATCATTTCACAAAATATATGTGTACCAAAATATGCTGTATATCTTAAATATATGCCATTTTTATTTAAGAAAAAAAGTTTAATTTGAAGAGAAATCTTTGCCTAGCTCAAGGTCACTAAGATTTTCTTGTGTTTTCTTCTAGAAATTTAATAATTTTCTCTCTTAAGTCTATGATCCATTTTGAGATAATTTTTATGTATGGGGTAAAGTAAGAGTTAAGAATAATTTTTGTTTGTTCTGCATATGGAAGACTGATTTTTCTTACCATTTCTTCCCAAATATTGCTGATTTTTCCAGCAATATTTGTTGCAAAGACTACTTTCTTCTTTGTAATGACTGTATAATGTTTCACTGAAGAGAAGTCCTATGATTTATTCAACCAATCTCATATTCATTGAAAGTTAGGCTGTTTCAGACCTGAGGCTGTAATGAACATCCTTGCACCTCAACCACTGGGCAGTTGAATGAGTATTTCTGTGGAATTTCTGAATCAAACAACACATGTGTATGTCATGTGTTGATGAGTGCCATCAGATTGCCTATCTGTATACCATACATTCCTACCTACGAGGCCTGTGAGAGAAAGCTCTGGCTTTGACTGGCTTTGTTGGTATAAGCCTTTCACAAATCTCAAATAATTTCCTTCTAGGTAATCTAATAGCCTGTGTTATTAGATTCTGAAAGATTGAGCCCTTCCAGGAGAGTTTGAAGAAAGATAACTTCTCAGTCAGTTAGGGTAACCCTGTAAGAAATAGACTCATAAAATACACAGTACATGGGAAATGGAAATTTACAAAGAGCTGTTTCATAACTATTGGAGCTTATAAATACCTCTGTGCTGGGGCCTCCCCAGAGGGTAGAGGTGACTCGCCCCCCAGTGGCCTGAATGTGTATATGCAGCCTCTCCTGTGCAGGCTCTAATTCTGCGTGGCTGACTGTCCACATTCCCTCTCACTTTCTCCCCATACTTACCAAAGTCCTTTCTTGTACCAGGCCTGGGCCAGCCAGCTACTGTCTGTGCAAAGGCACAAAGGGGTGCTGGGAAATGCAGTTTGCTTAGTGTGGCTGAAGCATAAAACTATGCCATTTTCTTTCTTTTCTTTTCTTTTCATCCTGTGGTGGTGTGATTTGATCAAATTAACTGACATTGTTGAGGATTAGGTGGCAAGGACTATCCTGGGGTACACAGAGCTATGGGACCGTCCTCTATCTCTGGAGACATTAACACAAGTTAAATAGCAATGCAAGGTGGTTTAGAAGCAGCTCAAAAACAATAGCAGGTGTTGCAGGCAGGACATAGTGACCCACTTTGTGCCAACAGCAGAGTCAGTGGTGAGAACTATGTGCTGAGAGAAGGAAGAAATCACTCTTGCTTCACAGGAGGGATCTGAGCTAGATGGTGAAAGTTCAGATTCTGGCAGCAGGTTACTCAAGAGTTACCTTCTTCCCAGGTAGCACCTTCTCCAAAGACCACTGCTCGGACTATAGGCTTCAGAAGTTAACAAGAACAAGCCTGAGAATTTCCTAGTGGGGTTTAGCCAACAATCACAGATCCTTCTGTTAAATAGTTTGGGAATAGCTAAATGGGGGTACCATGAAGTTGTCCTGTTAAAAATTTTTAAGTTTGGGTCACCTGGGCGGCTCAGTCAGTTAAGCGTCCGACTTCAGCTGAGGTCATGATCTCAGGGTTCATAAGTTTGAGCCCCATTTTGGGCTCTGTGCTGACAGCTCAGAGCCTGGAGCCTGCTTCAGATTCTGTGTCTCCTTCTCTCTGCCCCGTCCCTGCTCGCACTCTGTCTCTCTCTGTCTCTCTCAAATATAAAATAAAACATAAAAAATAAAATAAAAAAAATTTTAAGTTTATTTATTTATTTTGAGAGAGAGAGAGAGAGAGAGAGAGAGAGCATGTGCACAAGTTGGGAAGGGGCAGAGAGAATCCCAAGCAGGCTCTGCATCACCAGCTCAGAGCCTGACGTGGGGCTTGAACCCACAAACTATGAGATCATGACATGAGCTGAAATTACCTGACTTGACTGAGCCACCCAGGCGCCCCATCCTGTTAATTTTGAATATAACCTAAGTATATTCTTCAAGCTTTCAAAAGATTTCCTTATAAGTCCCTTATCAGTTACCTATGACCGTACAATAAATCATTCTAAAACAACAGCCATTTTATATGCTCATGAATCCATATTCTGGGCTGGGTTCATTTGGGCTGTTCTTCACCTGTGACTGCCATCGTCATCTGGTGACCCACGTGGTCTGGCTTCCCTCACGTGGCTGTTGCCTCATCTGAGATGGCCAGACAGGGGCTGGCTGCTTCCCCCTCCCTGCTGCTATCCGATGGTTCAGACTCTCCTATGTGGCAGCTTTATGGGGCAGCTTCTAGAAGCCAAAGGCAGAGCTGCCGGGCCCGTTAGGGCCTCAGCCTGGAAGTGGTACAGTGTCACTTCTGCCACACTGTACTAGTCAAAGCCAATGACAAGCCCAGCCCAGTTGAATGGGGGAGGAAACAGACTCCAGCTCTTGCCGGGGAGAGTGGCTCACGCGCACAGGGACGGGACGGATTTTCAGTGGCCATCATCGCCCCCAGTCCACCACAGCTCCCTGCGTTTCATTTTTGCTGTCTGCACACACAGATTTTACCTCATCTGTGATCCATCCATGTTACCTCATTTAACCTTTCCGGCATACCTTTAAAGGGAACACCACCTCCATTTTATGATGAGAAAACTGAGGCTCAGAGAAGGCAAACGCTTGGCTGCTGTCACAGCAGAGCTGGGAGGCGGTCAAGACTGGTGCGAAAGCCAGGGAGCCTTGCCTTAGGCTCTGCCTCCCCCAGAGATGAGGAAAGGTGCTCTTCCCCAAGGACGCCCACCCCAGAGGCCAGGAACTCCCAAACCACTCCCAAACAAACTCCCACGAGGCCCCGGGAGTACATTACGTGCATTAAAGCCAACTGGGCAACTCTGTAGATCATTATTTTAATAATCTAAGGATCTCTGTAACAGGCTTCATAAACTCATAAGAGGTATTCATTTAAGGACGCAGCACTTTTTACTTGGATTTTGCCCAGCCAAAGATCAAGTCATTGATGCTCTTTCTCCAAGTGTAATTTGATAATCATTCACTTTCTGTCTTTTCACTTATTTTGCTGTGGATGAGATAGAAGGGTGCTGCTTCTGCAGGGAGAACAAACACTTTCTCCTGGAGAAAGCTGTTTGAGAATAATCCACCTCCCCCATTTTATTGGACGATTAAAGAAAAATAATCCAAGGTCAACTTTGCATTTGTCACCGAGCGGGTGAAAGTGTCACAGGCTGACAGCAGAGGGATTTGTGTCTGTGGAAATTCAGTGATTCTGTGGTGCTGTTGGACACCTCCGTTCCGAGCAGGCAGCTGCTGGGGGATAGTTGGGGATCTGACTGCCTTTGAGGACTGCTTCTAGTGAACGTTTGAGACTCAACTGCCTTTTCACCGCCTCTTCAGTAGCCACTCACCTCAGTCTCCAAAACAGAAGTTCTGACATAGTATTTTAATGTGGGCATTTGATTCAGTGCGGGAGATAAATATAACCCTGTGTAGTACGGAGAAGGTTTAATGGGAAATGGTTGGCATTCTTTCTTGGTAAAGGCATGGGGAAAGGAGAGGGAGACAGGAGAGAGAGGGAGAGGGGGAGGGGGAGGGGGGAGAGAGAGGCGCAAACAGCAGTGAGGAAGACAAAGGCAGAGATAAGCAAGGCTTCCCGAGCAGCCTTGCCTAGAGAACTTGACACTTGCCAGACCCCAGCCAGCATGGTTGTCCTGAATCCAGTGACTTTGGGAATCTATCTGCAGCTTTTCTTCCGCTTTATCGTGTCTCAGCCTACTTTCATCAACAGCGTCCTCCCAATTTCAGCAGGTAAATGATGACCACACTTTCCTCTCTTCCATCCGTTGGGGGCAGGGTGGGGGGGGGGGGGGAAGATTATTTTGCAGCGTGTCCTGATATTTTCCCCCTTCTGCTCTCGGTGGAAGGAGGCTGGAGGGAGACAGCCACCCCAGCAGCTTCCTGTCACCCGAGCTGTCTCAGAAGCTCGCTCCGTCCTTGTTCCAAGTGGCCCCCACCCAGCTGCTCAAAGCCAGAGACCCTTTTAAAAATGGTTTCTGCCTCTCCCACTTCTCCCCACTTGCTGCGTGATTTCACTTTGGGAATCATGGGGAGCTTAAAAGAGACACAGAGGAGAGCATGGAAGGGAGAAGTGAGCCCCAGACACTTCTGTGAACACATCCCCAACCCCTTCTGAAGGGGGCTTGACTCAAGGGGGATGTCGTGGAGCAAATACGCCTCCGCTGAGCTCTTCCCTTCCTGTCCCAGCAGGGAAAAGGGGAATCCAGTGATTCGCCCGTGGGCAGGGACCCTTGCAGCCTCAGTCCTAGGTCTCCCATTTTTCCAGCCCTGGCTGCTTTCCTGTTGTGCCTTCTTCCCGCGGTGAGACTTCTGCCCAAATAGGGCAGCTGGAGGTCGTGGGAGACGGGAGATTTTTGAGGGGATGTGGAGGGTTCCAGAGTGCCCCTGGCCTGGCCTAGAGTGGACTGTGTCTGTCAGAGATAGGGCTGGGTGATTTGGGGAAGAGGGCTTTTTAAGCTGACCTGCCAAACTTCTCTGAGGGCAGCAGGCACCAGATTGCCCTCGTCCTGTCTGACCCAGAGCAGGGGAAGTATTGTGTTACTGGCATGGCCTATTTAAACCTTTCTGAGGAAACTCAAATGTTTCCGGAGGGCTTGAGGGAGCCAGGCAGACCCCCCGGTTTTGCTGCCTGTCCTGTTATAGCCCCCCTCAATTCACCTCAGCCGCCCCTGGCTTCCCCCCTCTCCCCCAGCAGAGGCGGTTTCAGTCACGCCCTCCAACTTGAATCTCACAAATACTTTCACGCAGGCAGACATTTCATTCTCACTGCCTTTGCTGAAAACACAGGCTCTCAGAGAGGACATGTCTGAGAATCCAGACCCCAGCCCCTCTCTGTTCATAAAATCAGTTCAGCAATGTGTTGTGCTGCCAGGCCTGCCCGCATCTGTGGGCCCTGAGGGAAGGGCTCAGAGAAGGGCACAGGGTAAATTATGAAAATGGGAGAAGCTGAAGGAGAGGACAGGGGAACTTGTTGGGAGGTGAAGAGTAGGGAGGGTAGGAAAGGTGGGTGGTTGTGTCACCACTCCTGTATGACAATATGCCCCCACAAATTCCAGTTGGGAGTGCCACACTTCTGGGAGCTGGTGGGTCATGATCCTTCTATTTAAGGGGGGGCAGCTGGATAGTTCATTCGGTCTGATCCAGTGGGTTCTTAACCTTATTTAGGTAATAGAGTCCTTTGAGAATCTGCTGAAGGCTCCAGACTTAAGGAAACTCTGGCTTCTGGTTCTAGCCCTGCCTCTGATGGGCTCTGACTTCTGGGAGACAGTCGGCATTCGACTATAAGCATCATGTGGGCAGGGACTGTCTTGTATGTTATCATTCGTTCCCCAGGGTCAGAGCAGGCCTTGGCACATGGTAGGGGCACAACAAATATTTGATGAATGAGTGAGTGAATGGAGGAATAATAATTTTTCTCATCTGTAGATTGGGGCTTGCCTTCATTTTATATCATTTAATTTAGATAGACTCAGATGGCTACTAGGTTCTGGAAACTAGAGAGAAAAGAACCTCTGATTTTTGTTTTTTAACTCCTTGCCCTAGAGACACTGCTGGTGCAGTGTAGACATCTTTTAGGTAGGACATTGTATAGATTGTAGCAGTCAAGGTAACAACAGGAAAAAGAAGCACTTCAGATGGTTCACATGAAGATTTGAACGAAGGGACCACTTTCAGAGGTGTGAGTGGGGTTAAGGGAGCCAACAGGGAAAGTTGAGGAATTAGTAATTCGGGAAGTCTTTACCACGCTTTTGCTTAAAAAGGCAAGAGGAAGAGGGGCACCTGGGTGGCTCAGTCAGTTGAGTGTCCAACTTCAGC